ATGGTTCCTTGGTCTCCATTATGCATGATGTAGCTTCAAGTATTACCTTTCATGCAGAAGGAAGACTTTCCTTACGTAAGTGCTATGCCAATTTATTTAATAATGCTCAGTAGGCTGTTGCTCAAAAGCCGGTTAACGCTGACCGAAGGTTAAAAATGCCTAACCCCTCTTAAATTTGGGTCATTTGCGTTGGACAAAGAATTTTTGAGGCTAAAAATGGATGTAAATGTGTTCCCCATCTCGATGAAGTTTATCAATTTCGCTGAGTGATTTTACGCCATTCAACGATCAACACCATTATTTCTTTTAGGCATTGGTACGATACAATGCAATAAGTTAAATATTTAACATTATATGGCAAGTGCTTGTTTTGGTTAATTCTGCAATTTGATTGGCTGCTGACAGGTCTGGATTTCCCGTATTGCCCACGGGCAATACGCAGTTCTTATTGCCCTGTCAAAACAAGGCAAAACTCACGGCAAAAACTAACTAAATTTAAACTGAAAAACAGATTAAATTTTTAAACGGAAAATAATGAATTTGAAATAAAAATAATAAATTTATATTTTACAAAATAGAGAGGTTTTTTTAACTTTAGGCCGATGTTTTGGTGTCGTGTGCCCGGATGAGATTGATCATTAAAATTACTCATAAAGAATTAATCATTAATCATTAACTTCGACTGTTCGGTCTGTACGGTACAATATCAAACCTCGGTCTTGGTGTATTGACCTCGCTATCGCTCGGTCAATACGGCACGACCTCGGTTTGATATTTTACCGTACAGACCTCACTCTCAGTCAGTAAGTTTTTAATATTTACTAGGCAGAAAAAAGCAAATTTGTAGGGTCGTGAGGTATTGTGGTTTTGCGTAGTTACACGAGCATAATCCACGAATTCGTTTAACTTCACTACATGTGGTTTGGCTGTAAGTTGTTTTGATATCGTGCGAAAAAAAAATAAGAAACATATCATTTACGAGGTTATAACAAAATTCTACAAGATCAAGTGCGATATTTCGACTTTTATTCTGTTCACCATTTGCGTTTGTTTTTATGCCTTTCTACTGTAATTTGTTTCACTATAAGTTTTAATGTTCAATCATCTATCCGTGATATACTTGTAATAATAGTACTGTCAGGACAACTCATTATTTCATCGGCGCATTCGAAATGTATAGTTTATCAGTTACTGCTATAAAATTAAGTCTCAGTTTAATGTTTTTAAAGATAATCCACGTACACCAGTAATTGCCTAGTAACATTATTGATATGTGACAGACAAATGAAACGCTAAAAAGAATCAAGTCGAAATCTCCTACTTTAATTTTGCGACGTGTTAATCTTGATCTTTATTTGCTTCCGTGCTGTCGAACGGATGTAAAAAGTGTGCTTTGACTCAGGGCGGAGGAACATGGGAGATGGGGGTGTCCAGGGGGGACCTAGCCCCCCAAAAGTAAGCCCCCCAAAAATTGTCAGTCGTCAAATTAATGCTCCCCGGCGTATCAAAATGCTAATAAGATATCCTATATATATTGTGTTACGGATCAAGTGAATGTAAATTGACTTTCTTTGATCTTTCATAGTTGTCTTTAACAGCAGAATATTCGTGGTTGTATAATTATTGTTATTATTTCCGAACCACCATTTTGTTTGGAAGTTATTTTGAAAATTTGAGAGATGATTTTTCAAATGTAGAAGATATCACTACACGCGCTGTGCTTTTTTCAGATTGTGTTTGCCCATGAAAAACTACGATGAAAACGGCAAGTAAGAATTTGAAATGGCCATTTCCGAAGATCTAGATCGTTGAAATTCCAAAAAATCAGCCCCCCTAAAATATATTATGTTCCGTCGCCCCTGCAGTGTGACTGCCCTGTGTTTCTAAGAGTAAGAGCACACGTAGAGACGTGAGAGAATTTAAAAACAGTGCACAAACCACTGCACACAACCACTGACAATGCCCTTCGATCCCAAAAATTTCCTTTTTTACTGCCTTCTACTGGAACAAATCACCCTATTTTTTAATTCTACTGTGTACATATCCTGCGATAACATTTAATTATAGGAAAAATTTATAGGAACGTGAATTATATTTAGAGCAATTATGTTCAGGATTGCTTTTAGCAGAATTAAAATTGACAAATCAAACTATAAAGGGAAAGACTACGTAGAATTCCTCCGGTGAAATTGTAACAAGTCGTATTCTTGTCATAGCCTATGTAGTTTTATTTGCTTATAACGCCCACAGAAACCCCTCAGGCGCGGATCCAGCCGAAAATCTGACCGTGTCATATTGGACTAAAAATTTTCCGGTCGGGGGGGGGGGGCGTATGGCGAAGGGGGAACGTTTAAAAGCGAATATTGTAATTTGTAAATCCCTGTACTTTCATAAAACCACAAAACCATTTTCAAAATTTTTATTAAGGTATTTACGGATATTTCATTCACACTCAACATAACGTGAGATTTGCATACACAAATTATTCACAGCGTAAATGCAAATTTGTATCATATGGCGCTTTCCATTAAGCGGCCAAAAAGGTCAGACCGGTCATATTTTTTAACATGTTATTTGTAAACTATATCCGAGTTCGAAGTCGAGAAGTGTCGAACTTTATTGTTTATCATGTTTATTGCGCAATCAAAAACAGGCCACCGTGTCGCACCGTGTCGCACCGTGGCTCACGTGGCAAAAGCTTGCCCTGTGATTGGTTTGCTACACTGCAGTGCACCGTGTCCGAACGTTACTATATTTAGTAACAATTGCGCAATAATCTGCACGCTGACCGTGTCAACTAGTTGCTGTGATCGCAGCTTCGAATGCACGACTAGCTTCCGAACATACTCGGCACAATTCGGCAAGCTTTCGGCGAATTTTATAGTTCAATGTTAACTGAACAATCATAATATGAAACAAGGAATAATAATTGGGAATTTGTTACCACTTTTAGCAGGAATTGGTAATAATATGACAACGATTACGAAAGATATTACTCAAATAATTTGTTTTAGACATATATTTCCTTAATTCTGGTGTGATTCAAAGAATTAATATGTACTTCTAAATAATGTGTGAATATTAGATTGCAGATGGGAAAATTCTGGATGGGAAAATCTGACCGTGGCTCGAGCCACGTTCGATACGGTCTGGATCCGCGCCTGCGGCCCTACCTTGCAGGTACACTAGTATAGTCACTTAAATTTTAGATGGTGGTATGGCGCACAATAGCCATCAAAGTAGACTTAATGTTTGGAGCTATGAAATTGATGGCCATGCTTTATCATTAATGGCAAACAAAGGACCATTGTTTGAAAACGGTAATGTCTTCGCGTGGTATGGAGTAAAATCCAAGGTTACGGCAGGCACAGTCTTCGAAGAAACCTCGAGTGATGTACACAACTCTCGTAAGTATGACCTCTCCGAAGGCCATGTTTCTCAAGTGTTTTGATTAGCACGTTACGTTCTCCATGAAACAAATTGAAACGATTGCATTCATAGAGTTTATTAAGGTAAGCTCCAGTAGGTCATCGATGAAAATGACTGCAGGATTACAGCATTTGATTCACTTTATACCGATATGCGGATTTCAACAAAAATGTATGCGTAATCCAAACATAAAAACGTTTGTTTAAAACAACAAACAATTTTCATATTCGTACCATCAATAGGGCCTATAATATTCTTTATTCATCACTTTATGCAGTGTCATCTGAATATTTCATCTTTTGAACGAACTTGCCACATTAAAATGTGATTCACTGATTCACTCAATCCCCTCACTTTATGCTGATGATACGGTAATCTGTGCATCTTCTAATGATTGCATTGACCTTGTTAACAAAGTAAACATTGATCTTAAAAATTTATCAAAATGGATGCAACAAAACAAGCTTGTAACGCATCCTAGCAAATCTAAACATATGTTCATTGGATCTTCTTATAACCTTCAAAATAAAGTAATTTGTAACCCCATTTTAATTAATAATAAGTCAATTCCAAGAACGGATAAATTTTCGTGCCTTGGTGTGAACCTTGACGAAAGGTTATCGTGGGAAACACACATTGAATCTATCTGCTCTAAAGTTAGTGCTGGTATTGGTGCAATAAGACGAGTTAAACCTTTTGTACCACTGCCGACGTTAAAATTGTTATATAATGCTGCTGTACAGCCTTATTTTGATTACTGCAGCCTATTATGGGACAATTGCGGCATTGGTCTCAAAGATAAACAGCAAAGATTTCAGAATAGAGCTGCAAGAGTAATCACTGGGGCCACCTACGATATTCGATCAGTTGATCTACTTAGAAATTTAAATTGGAAACCTCTTGAATCTAGGCGAAACTACCTAAAATCCATCTTTATTTACAAAATTCTTAATGGTCACACCGCTCCCAATCTTAAAGAAGTCTTTCGTCCTAATAGTGATAGAGACATTTCATACAATCTCACGAATAGAGAAACTGATTTAGCACCACCTATGCCAAAAAAGGAATTTGGCAAGAGGTGCTTTAGTTATAATGTAACATGTTTCTGTTATTAACTGTTTCATGTCTTTAATTTCCCTGTCCTACGTCCATGTAATTTTGTAGTTTCATTTTTTTTTAAATATCACGCCCCTCATTGAAATCAGTCAGCTGTTGAGGCTAGCGTGACGAAATAAAGTCTATGTATGTATGTATTAAAATTGGCTTGAAATTAACTGGAGATACTGCGACTACGAGTACGACTACGAGCATATACGAGATTCGTCATTCTCGCGTCTGACCTTTACGAAATTTCAACCACTTTTTCCAGTCCGTTGCCGTTTAATTTCTTCTTGTGACTCTAAAAATCCAACACCTACAGAAATGTCAAGTTAAACGTTAACTGTTGCGAATATTATCACAATATTGAAAATCAAATTTCATAAAAATGCTCTTGGGCGAGACAGGCCAAATAAATAATTAGCCTGCTGCTTATCAACTTTTTCTTGCCAGGGTCGGTGTCTATATACCAGATGGATTTTCCCTCCGCTTCAAACAAGAACTACGTATTAATAAAAGACGCTGTCCATGAAGAAATCAAGGTCTTCTCCCTTTGTTTTTGGGCAAAATTTTTGCAAGAACATGCTGGCGTATTTGTCTACTCAAGTCCAACCCATGATGCTGAAATTGGGGTTTTTCTATATAGTGACTTTGTTTTGGACCTCATTATCAAGGAATCGGGGAAAAACGGGTTAGTAATGGACATTTGTTTCTCAATTTCAATATAAAAAATCATGCACAACAAAATATTAGCTACTGTACAGAAAGCAATTAAATTATACGATCCACGTTACCCAACACCAAAATAAAGACGAAAGTTTGACATTATAAAATTTAATTACGCAAATCCGCAGACATGACTAGCCTCCGGAGATTATTCAGCAATACTTTGTTATTCGCGAAAGTGAGTGCAATTAAGTGAGCTTCAGCAGGAAAGTAAACTTTCGAACCGTAAATGAATCAATAATTATTACCGTGCATTAAAACGAAATTCTGAAGAATGTTTACGAATTACGTCTCATTTGCTCTCTTTTCGACTCCTGCTACACAAAAATCATGCTGTCCCAGACGCACAGAAATGCCAAGAAGTTCATTATACGTTAACTATTGCGAATCTTCATCACAACATTGTAAAATCAGATCTCATACTTGACGTACAATCCTGGTGAAACATTGACGCACACTCGGTGTAAATTGACACTACAGTCAGCAGTCACGGAATATATCTCAAAATTCTCCCCCTTTCCCCCACAAATCAATGTTGGGTGATGTGTCAAACTCATTCAAACGTTTTAGCATGGACTTAACATTGATTAGGGGGTGAGTGGTAAAATCGACACAGAAGTGTTGATGTTTTGAGTAAAAAACTAAAAATCAATTAGAGCGTATAGTCAATGGTTTTGGCCAGGATTGTAGGCCTGACGGAGAAAGGCCTCAATTAAATTGTATAGTATTTCTATCTTTAAGGCCTGCGATTTCCCACCACAAATCGTGGCATTTTTATTGCCTACAGTGGAGAAGCAGTGATGGTTTAATCCTGATTTATCAAGACGGAAAAAACCTTGGGACGAGAATCGAATCAAAAGGTTACACAATACCTTTCAAAGGCATCGTGGTTCTCGGCCAGGAATTGGATTCTTATGGCGGAGGTTTTCAGACCGCACAGGCATTTAAAGGAAGCCTCGCAGGGTTAAATCTCTGGAGCCAATTTTTGACAGCAAATATTATACAAGGAATGGCATCCGGGGTCCTAAATGTTAACGGAAATCTTCTCCAATGGAGAAATTTCAGAAATCATACATTTGGTAACGTAACTGCACGACATGGATCCGAAGCAGAGATTCCAGGTATTTTGTGATATAATCTCATTTTAATTTATTATTTTGGTTGCAACTGATGAATAGGCAACCCATGACTTTGAAACAGTATTTCTTTTCCGTTCCTCATCAGAGACACGATTGTCAGCCATTCTTGACAAAATGCAAAATCATGTGTAGGATCACGGATGTTCATTTTTCTACCATCAGCAGAAAAAAACAACAAGAAAAACACCAGGGGCCGGTGGTAAGAAACCCGGATAGCGTTATCAACCAGTAGTGATTTTTTTAACAATTCTAAAAATGCTCGAAAAGTGATAAAATTTCAGCTTTAGAAACAACACTTATTAAAGAGGATCTGTGATTTAAGAATACCAAGATTTGATTAAAATTATGGCAAACAACGGGCGATTTTAAAGCGATGAATAAATAGCGCTATCCAGCTTTCATACAATCGGCCCTAGTAATGTGTACACACCCATAATCAACTTTTCTCAAGTGGAATCATGCTTCACAATTCTTTCAGAATATCGAGTACAGAGTCTTCGAGATAAGTGGTGTGCGGAAAACATCACTGAAGTTTTAACTTATGCAAGATTTGTTCTCGGTGCGGACACAGATGGCTACAGGTGGCGGTGTGTTGCACCTGCGGCCATGTTGGATGAAAATATGTGTTACAATATCACTAAGAGTTCATCTTTGTACTATCCCATGGACACGAACGAAGACATTTTCGGAAATAATTGAAAAATATTTCCTTGACATAAATAACTTTGATATACGTATAAATTGGTTCCAATATAACAGGGAGCAGCGTGACAGCATCTTCAAACATGCAACTTCACGTCAAATCAGGTATAACGACTTATATAGGAGAGGTAGTAACTGCATACTAACTCTCCTGACGAAAGCCCTAAGGTTGAAACGTCGAGAAGTGTTTTGCTTATTTTAGGCAGTCGTTATACTACATTTGATGCTACTTATAAATAGGTAAAATAGATGCCATGTACTTAAAGTTATGTTTTTGTCCCGGTAATAATTTTGAAGTGCTTTACATGCAATTACCAAAAATTTTGGGTTAGAGCTAGGGTCATCTGATTGAATATTTAACAGTGTGAATTACTATAAAGAAGCACAACGAAATTTTGCACAACGCACCTTTTGCACTGTGGTTTTTGCATCGACGCACTAAGATGATCATTTCCACTAGGGTTAACATCCACACAAGGTCCTTCGTATATAATTACCTTCACATCATAAACTATTAAAATGGAATTTATTTAACTTTGATCAAAATAAACGAAATCTTTTTCTTTATGTATTATGTTGCATGTATCCAAAGAGTGCAAACTATTTAAGAAAGTCGGAAAGCACGAGCCGGAAAGCGCTCAAAACGCCAGCGCACACTGCAGGAACTTTCTTACGCATACCGTCAGGAGTGACGCTCAGCTCAGCGGATAGCTCTAGTGGCCGCGGCGGGCTTTAAGAATGGCGCAGCTAACAACAGAGCAAATTAAAAAGTCTTCCTTGTTTTGCATTACACAGAAACGCAAAATACAGCTGAAGCATAGAAACATATTTTAACAACGGTTCCCTGAACGAAATCTGCCACTTAAATCAACTATCACGAAAAACGTCCAAAAGCACTCTACCGAGAAAACCAGCCTAAATCTCAACAAAGGCAATTCTGGTCGTCGCAGAACATCATGCACGATGTGCGCAAAATATGGCTGCTGTTTGAGATTTACTTGAAGAGTGCTCACACATCAGTGCCTGTCGCAACCTCTGGCTGTTTCGTGGCTAAACATAGCTATAAAGCTATATGTATAATGTTCTAGGCCTTTGATAGTAATGTAATCATCCACCACTTACTACGCATTTTTCTCGTTACTTACTTGCGCCGTAACAGTTGGATTTCAGTCTTTCGGATTACGTAACATAGATGGTGAAAAAAACATTACACCAAAAGCTTGTCCTAGCTAGCTTGCCGTCCGCACGAAACCTGGGGACGCGATCTGATTAGCTACGTATTCAATTATAGATTGTGATTGGTTAATGCGATAAATTAATAATGATTGTGATTCAAATAATGATTTTGATGCATGACGTTAGACCGAAAACTGGGTCTTCGCTACGGCAAATCTTCTCTTCAATTGAAGAAACAGTATCGGTAGGGCAAGAGCGTTTTAGTGCTTGTTCTGTCCCGTTTGTCTACAGTCGTGGTTCTCTTTTAGGCGTTCTTCAATGTCAGATATTTGTGATATTAATCCAAACCGCTTCTTTAGAGCGTTCACACAGCTTCGGCATATGTACTGGCTCCGTTCTAAACCGACAGTGAATGGCTTGCTCTCACGTTCAGACTGTATATTTCCCTTACTCCTTTCTTGAACTAAATATCTATCTTTCGCTCGGCTAAACGTTTGTTGGCAGAGGACACAAAACTGCGAACTTGCCGAAATTACAATGATACAATGATCTACATAAATCCCGATGGCGCATAATTTTACACAAAATTTCCGCATTGGCGGAAGTAAGCTGCAAAAAATTGCAAACAAATTATTTCGACGAATAAATTATAGAACATGGATTTCGGCGCTGATGCGCAGACGCTATATTACAATATTTCGATTTATACAATAATTCGATTTATACAATAACTCGATTTATAAAACATTACAATAGTATGATGAACGTTATAAATATTATTGGTCATACCTGACATTTTTTCACTAATACTAAATTAGTAGTGCTGTATTGTTTTTAAAAATACTTTGGTGAAATTACTTCTGTCGTTTCCCCGTCGATAACCTGGAACAAAGCGATATTGATTAAAAATATTTTGAACAGCGGTCGAAGGCGCCAGACTTAAGATGGTGTACGAGTTCTGGTCGACAGTTGTGGGCGTGGGTTCGAATCCCACACCTGACATAAATTATTTGAACATGTTGGAAAATAATTTTTGGGCTTGTCAAAAATTCCTCACACCTCTTTACGTGAAAAAGAAGTAAAAAATTAAAAAAGTTATTAGCGATAAGAATACACTAGACACAATATTTTACAGTGGACATAATGTTCCAATCCGGATTGGCAAACTTTTCTACAAATAAGAAAGATACTTAACCATATAACCGTAAAACATTTTGTACAGGCAATACTGCAATAGTACTCGTTATCGGACAAAAGCCTTTGCAATGTCTAAAATTGGGCGGCAACGTTTTGTAGTTAGCGATTCCGATTGGTCTAAGGCGTTGGTTTAAGGTACCAGTCATTTCGATGGAGTGGGTTCCAATCCCACCGCTTCCAAATTCCATGAAATTTAGCATTTGAGACTCGTTTATTTTATACTTGAAGAGCAATCCAATAAACTTTGATCACTTATGTAGTATCAGGTTTTGCAAAATGCTAAAAAGCATAGGCTTAGGTAGCGTAGCCGTGTGGTCTAAGGCGCTGGTATCAGGCACCAGTCATTTCGATAGCGTGCGTTCGAATCCAACCGCTGCCATTGTCGGGCCGAATGTATGTCATGCAGAAACAATTTTTTTAAATTTTGACATCCAGGGGTATACGTAATTTTCAAATTTTTTTATACCAGTAGGTGTCGTTGCAGTGTGGTAGCTACTCGTCAATTGGCCGAGCGGTCTGAGGCGCCAGACTCAAAAATGTCGTGAGGAATTTTGGTCCACAATGGTGGGCGTGGGTTCGAATCCCACACTTGACAAATTTGGAAATGTTTAAAAATAATTTTTGATATATAAATAAAACAAGCTTCTAAATTTTTATTGCTTAACATCTAGGTCGACAAATGCGTACTCAAATATGTGTTTCTTTCAAATTATTCACTTATTCACTTTTTTTCAAAGATAACATTTAAAAGAAAGATTTAGGGGTGTTTATATTAAAACCGGGACTTTTTTCATCAAAAATAAAATGGGACGTTTTTCATCCAGCTTTCTTTATATGGAAGTTTCTTCACCGGGACATTTGCAACCCGGACATCACGTTGCTTTGGTAACGGGGGAAAATTCAAATATGCATGGAGAAATGTTTACAAAAAGCCTTTTATTGCCAAATATTCCTCTTTAGCTGGAGCTGTTCTTAATCTTCTAAACACTATTAACAGTCTTTTATTTATTTTTAAGTCTTGTTTACCAGAATGCAATGTTTTTTGCTTCGTATTTAAACAAGCGAAATAGTTATTAAAATGTGCTCCCGACATCTTCCGGCAATTTCCGAATCTGAATATTGAATATTAAAAGTCAGCATAATAATATTCTGGTCAGGCGGGATGTAGCATTTATACGGTAAAAAGCATCCCGTTTAAAATGGGATACCATTGTCGAAACTCGGATCCAGCCTATCAGTAAAAATGTACCGGTTTCATATAGATGGAATGCGATGAATATTATAGAAATTCATAGATGCTGGGACCCCGAGGTACAGAATACCAATCAGAAGGACAACTCCATTGTTTTTTAGGTAAGTAATTCAGCAAGTATCGTTACTGAAGCTATCACCCCCCTGTCCATATTGGAAACGGCGCTGTTGGCAGGGGGGTGATTCTTCTAATTACGGCACTTGCTGAGAGACGAATCCATTTCCGGAAAAAAAAACAGTGGAGTTGTTTGCCCGAGCATCGTCCTGTCTCGACAAACTGCACATCACGGAGAGCCGGAGGAATGAAAGTCAATATTTTGTTAGAATTTGAATGCCTTATTATGCTAAACTCACGGCAAAATCAGACACCCAAATTGAATGCATCAACCTAATTACTATTCTATTTACACAACTGTGCGTTCATCATGTATTCAATGTTGCGGCAAAGACGTACAGGCGCCCAAAAAACCCAAAACTATTGAAATCACCTATTGTTAAATTTTTGCTCGTGGGGATTAACGCAACTTATAAAATGCTAAAATGCTAAATAGACATATGTGGTTTTAATTTGAAGAGCATGCGTCATCTCTATAGGAAAGCTTAAAAACAGCGATTAAGATTTTTTTCACTAATACTAAATTAGTAGCGCTATATTATTTTAAAAAACACTTTTGTGAAATTTCTTTTGTTATTTCCCCATCGATAACGTGGAACGAAACGATATTGGTTGGAATATATTTTGAAGAGTGAGGCTGGCCGAGCGGTCGAAGGCACCCACCAGACTTAAGATGGTGTACGAGTTCTGGTCCACGGTTGTAGGCGTGGGTTCGAATCCCACACCTGACATATTTGGACATGTTGGAAAATAATTTTTGGGCGGTTCAAAAATTCCTCACACCTCTTAACGTAAAAAGAAAGTGAAACATTAAAAAAAAATTTTAGCGATAAGAATACACTAGACACAATATTTTACAATGGACATAAAGTTCCAATCCGGATTGGCATACTTTTCTACAAATAAGAAAAATATTTAACCATACAACCGTAATACATTTTGTACAGACAATAGTACTCGTTATGGGACATAAGCCTTCGGGATATCCAAAATTGGGCGGCAACGCTTTGTAGGTAGCGTAGCCGAGTGGTCTAAGGCGCTGGTTTAAGGCACCAGTCATTTTGACGGTTTGGGTTCAAATCCCACCGCTGCCAAATTCCATCAAATTTTAGCATATGAGACAAATTTATTTTATACTTGAAGAGTAATCCAATAAACTTTGATCACTTATGTAGAATGAGGTTTTGCAAAATGCTAATTAGCATACGCTTAGGTAGCGTGGCCGAGTGGTCTAAGGCGCTGGTTTCAGGTACCAGTCAATTCGATGGCGTGGGTTCGAATTCCACCGCTGCCACTGTCGGGCCGAATGTATGTCATGCAGAAACAATTTTTTTAGATTTTGACATCCAGGGGTATACGTAGTTTTCAATTTTTTTTATACCAGTAGGTGTTGTTGCAGTGTGGTAGCTACTCGTCAAGTTGGCCGAGCGGCCTAAGGCGCCAGCGGCAACGCTTGACTCTCTAAGGTGCCAGACCCAAAAACGTCGTGAGGAATTCTAGTTCACAATGGTGGGCGTGGGTTCGAATCCCACACCTGACATATTTGGAAATGTTTGAAAATAATTTTTGGGCTGGTCAAAAATTCCTCACACCTCTTAACGTGAAAAAGAATGTAAAACCTTAAAAAAAGTTATTAGCGATAAGATTACACTAGACACAATATTTTACAGTGGACATAAAGTTTTAATCCGGATTGGCATACTTTTCTAGAAATTAGAAAAATACTTAACCATATAAGCGTAATACATTTTG